CCTTTTCCCTTTGTCAACTTTGCTTCTAGAATTAATTTGTCAGACTTCAAATATATGAAATTATGGTTTTGGAAAATACTATTTACATAGCTTATTTATTAATTTCATGGGCTGCGCTGAGGACAAAAGCAAAGTGAGTGGCCAACTTGAAAGCATTTCACTTTCTAATTACAACAGCACAAGTCCTAAGAGATAGGTAACTTGAAATCTCTTGTGAGTAAATTTTTCTGTGAAGCTCAAGGGTTCAATAACCATCATTCTGGCCCCATCCCCCAAGAGATAGAGAATCTGAAGAAGTTGACTAAATTGTATTTGGAGTTTAACCACTTAATAGGTTATTGGCCCCAACTCATTTGCTATAGTGGACAACTCAAAAATCTTTCAGTGAGCTATAACCATTTGACTGGTCCAATCCCTAAAGGCTTGAAAACATGCAAGAGCTTAGTTAGAGTTCGTCTTGATGGGAACCAATTGACAAACAATATATCAAAAGACTTTGGTGTCTATCCAAATCTTGATTTCATAGATATGAGACATAATAAGCTTTATGGTGAAATCTCACAAAAATGGGGATCTCCATGTTTTCTACAGTGGCTTCAGTGGTTGTGCTGCTCACAATTAAAAGCCTTACTAATTGCAGAAAACAACCTTACTGGTAGCATAACTCCTAAGATTGTCAATGCAAATAAAATTCATAAACTAGACCTTTCTTCAAATCACTTAGTTGGGGCGATTCTGAAGGGATTCAGGAGAATGAATTCTTTGCAGAAGTTGATGTTGAATGGAAATCCACTTTCAGGTTGTAGACCTTCGGAATTTGTATCACTTATCGCTCTTGAATATCTTGACTTGTCATAGAACAAATTCAATGGGCCAATTGCGAGCACTCTTGGCGACTTTCTCAAACTGTACCAACTAAATTTGAGCAACAATCATTTTTCTCAAGGAATTCCATTTAAGTTGGAAAAGTTAGTTCAGTTGAACGATCTAGATTTAAGTCACAACTCACTTGAAGGTAGCATACCACTAGAAATCAGCAATACGGAGAGTTTGCATACACTCAATCTTTCTCACAACAATCTTTCGGGTTCCATACCATCAAGTTTTGAAGGCATGCACAACTTGTCGTATGGGGATATATCTTACAATGCATTGGAAGGTCCCATCCCAACAACAAAGCATTTTGACAAGCTTTGCTAGAAGCTTTACAAGGGAACAAAGGATGGTGCGGCAACGTCGAAGGTTTGCAACCTTGCACACATGGCTCGAGAAAGGACCGCAAACAAGTACTTGGAATCACATTCTCCCTTCTAGCAGCAATTTTACTTCTTTCTGCTTTCTATATAATTAAATTCGTAGTGGAAAGAAAGAAGAAACATATTGCTTTCAATTTTAAATTTTGATGGAAGGCAATGTATGAGGAAATCATAAAGGCAACAGAAAATTTTGATTCCATATATTGCATTGGGAGCGGAGGAGAATGAAGCGTCTAAGGGTGATAATAAACCTACAATTAGTAGCTATTTCTCCATCATCCTATTATTGATTATCCCACTAGCAATTTCTTCTACAATAATTATCTTCATTCCTCTATCTTTTCCATTTTTTACATATTGGCCAAAGAAGGGTGTTTCGTGTGGTGGAGCTTTAGACTCTTCCTTTTGTGCAGATAGGTTTAAGTTACACAACGATTCAGTTGGGTTGTTATACACTGCAAGGGACAAGTCAAGAGATATACTATTGTACCGATTCGTGGGCTTTTGTCAAACCACAATGTGCTTGAATCTCCTTAAAGAGAGCGAAATTACAGCACCTTAGCCTAATTGTCTACGTGCTTCTAAGAAGAACATCATAATTTCCTTGTAATTTTCCCAACAATAGTTGTTGTAATTTTTATGTAGTATTTTAATTATCGTGTGTATTACTAATTGTTGTAAGATTGAACCATCTTATGTAGAACTATTTCAAGTTTCAAATTTCAAATCTTTATCTTTATAAAAAAAAAAAAAAAAAAAGGTAATTGTTGTTCTGTGACCTTCATGTTTCATGGGATAGATTTAGTTATTTTTTTATTTTTTTGGAATTTAAATATTTTTAGGTTAAATCTTCATATAAATAAATTAAAATAATCTACATATATTTCCTTTTCAAAAAGGTACCAAGAAAAGTTACACTAAAGTCATTCTTTAATTGTCTCGGCCTGAAATTTTAAGCCAAAATTATTGACAAAGAAAAGTTATTTCTAGATTAAAATCTAAATTTTTTATACAACACAATCGGGGAGGTGGAGTTGGTCTAAACACATAATGACCTAACCATATTAAGTTTTCAAAATTATTAATGCTCATCAAAGTCGTACATAATCCCTTTTATTTACAAAGAAAAAGATGAATATCACTAAATTGAGACCGTACTTGTTACAACCTATTCTTAATAATCTTTAGATGATTGCCCTAAATGTGAAACAAACAAGAGGGCAGGGTTGAGATAGTGATATTTGAGAAGAAGAAAGATTGACAATTAGACGCATTTGGGACAAAGAACATTGGATATAATAGGAAGACTTTGACTTGGAGCAAGTAAAATTTATAGAAGACTCCTAAGTCGTGAACAAAATCATTAATTGGAAAGATTTTTTTCATGGTCTGGGACTCTGAGCCATGAAGATGTCATTTTCTTGTGGAAAACGAAACATTATGCAAGTCCCTTATCTTTGTTCTTCTCTCCCACCTTTTTTTTTTTTTTTTTTTTTGTGCAATTCGAATTGATAAAAATAGCTCATGAATGCCATTATAAATAAACCCTAGAAGTAGATTCTAATATGTACACGAAATTAAATACTAGTGGCCATGACATCCTTAGATTTTCATAAACTATGCCATCTGGCTTATTGCCTTATCTTGTACGTACAACTTCTTTCATTGCCAAGTTACGCTGCTTTTGCTTCAGCTTCTGCTACTTCTACTACTGAGGCAGAAGCACTTCTCAAATGGAAAGCCACCTTTCAAAACCATACCCAACCGCAAAATCTCACATCGTGGACTTACCTACCCATGAATACAAAAGCAGCCCCATGCTTCTGGTATTTCATGCAATGCTGCTGGAAGCGTCACTGTGATAAACCTTATTAATTTCGGTATACAAGGTACGCTACATGAATTTTCATTCTTCTCCTTCCCCAATCTTCAACACCTCAACCTCAGCTACAATAATCTCTTCAATGTCATTCCAACTCGAATCAATTCCCTCTCCAAACTCATCCACCTTGAATTTTCAAACAATCAACTCAGTGGTTCAATCCCAACATCCGTTGGTGATCTCACAAACCTTATCTCAACACTAATAATCTTTCTGGTCCAATTCCTATAGAGATAGGGAAATTGAATTCTCTTATGAAGCTCGATTTGTCAAATAAGCAGCTCAGTGGTTCAATCCCAACATCCCTAGGTGAGCTCACAAACCTTACCAGTCTATATCTCTGCAATAAGAATCTTTCTAGCACAATTCCGAAAGAGATAGGGAAATTGAAATCTCTTGTGGAGCTCATTTTGTCAAAGAATCAACTCAATAGTTCAATCCCAACATCCCTAGGTGTCTCACAAACCTTACCATTCTCTATCTCTAGGGTAATAATCTTTTTAGCACATTTCCAAAAGATAGAGGGAACTTGAAATCTCTTGTGAGTCTAGATTTGGCTCATAATAAGTTCAAAGGTTCAATTCCGACTTCAATAGGTAACCTATTCAACTTGGAACACTTAGGCTTACAAATGAACCAACTTTCTGGCTCCATCCCCCAAGAGATAGAGAATCTAAAGAAGTTGATTGAATTGTATGTGGAGTTAACCACTAAATAGGTTATTTGCCCCAACATATTTGCTATAGTGGGCAACTCAAAAACCTTTCAGTGAGCGATAACCATTTGACTGGTCCAATCCACAAAAGCTTGAAAACATGCAAGAGCTTATTTAGGGTTCGTCTTGAAGGGAACCAATTGACAGGCAATATATCAAAAGACTTTGGTGTCTATCCAAATCTTGATTTCATAGATATGAGCCACGATAAGCTTTACGGAGAAATCATACAAAAATGGGTACAATGCTCAAAAATAAAAACCTTACTAATTGCGAGAAACAACCTTACTGGTAGCATACATCCTGAGATTGTCAATTCATATAAAATTCATGAACTCGACCTTTCTTCAAATCACTTAGTTGGGGTGATTCCGAAGGGATTCGGGAGAATGACTTCTTTACAGAAGTTCATGTTGTTGGAAATCAACTTTCAGGCTCTGTACCTTCAGATTGTACCATCTCGACTTGTCATCAAACAAATTCAATGCGTCAATTGCAAGCAGTTTAGGCGACTTTCTCAAATTGTACCATCTAAGTTTGAGCAACATTCATTTTTCCCAAAGAATTCCATTTAAGTTGGAAAAGTTAGTTCAGTTGAACGAACTTGATTTAAGTCACAACTCACTAGAAGGTAGCATACCACCAGAAAACAGCAATATGGAGAGTTTGCAGACACTCAATCTTTCTAATAACAATCTTCTGGGTTTCATACCATCAAGTCTTGAGGGCATGCACAGCTTGTCATACGTGGATGTATCTTACAATGAATTGGAAGGTCCCCTTCCCAACATCAGAGCATTTCGACAAGCTCTACCCGAAGCTTTACAAGGGAACAAAGGATTGTGCGGCAACGTTGAAGGTTTGCAACCTTGCACACGTGGCTCGAGAAAGGATCGCAAACGGGTATTTGGAATCACATTCTCCCTTATAGCAACAATTATACTTCTTTCTGTTTTCTTTACAATTAAATTCCTAGTGGAAAGAAAGAAGAAACATCCTATCGTTTTCAGTTTTAAATTTTGATGGAAAGTCAATGTATGAGGAAATCATAAGGGCGACATAAAATTTTGATTCCACATATTGCATCGCGAACGGAGGACAAGGAAACGTCTACAAAGCAAACTTGTCAAGTGATAACATAGTGGTTATGAAGAAACTACATCAATTGTGGGATGGCGAGAAGAATTTGGAGAAGTCATTCTTGAAGGAAATAAGGGCACTAACAGAGATAAGACCATGGAACATTGTGAAGCTTTATGGTTTCTGTTCACACCATCGACACTCGTTCTTGGTGTACAAGTTTGTTGAAAGAGATAGCTTGGCTGCAATTTTGAGCAAAGATGAGGAAGCTAAAGAAATGGGGTGGAGAAAAAGGGTGACTATTGTTAACAGTGTAGCTCATACCTTGGTATACATGCACCACGATTGTGTGCCACCAATTGTGCACTGGGACATATCAAGCAAGAACATTTTGTTGGATTCTGAATATGAGGCCTCTGTTTCATACTTTAGCACTGCTAAGTTTTTGAATCTGGACTCAACTACTTGGAATGCCGTTGCAGGCACATATGGGTATGTCACACCAGGTAATATGTTTTCTTCCTTTTAACCTTATTAATTGAGTGTTGTTTATGATTTGTTTTTTTTTTTTTGCCAACTATTACTTCTTTTCAACGTTAGGACAGATTAAACATACCACGTTACAGGCTTTGATTTTGAAGAGAACATTAAGTGATTCACATATAAGAGATACTTGGGTTCATGGTAAGTTCTTCCAAGTTAGCACTCTCTTTCCTTAAAGCTAAAACATAAAAATAAATTAGAAAAAACAACAATTATAACATGCAAACTGCAGTAACCATCTAATTTAATAAGTAATACCAATCGAGATGTTAATGAACTACTAAAAACTAACTAATTTAAAAAACATGCAGTAAACATGGGAACTGCAGTAAGAATACAAATACCATGTAAGATTTACCTCTTTTGCCAAAAAGCCAATCTCTAGGACATGACAACGCTTGAACAGTTTCAGGCAATAAACAACTACGATATTGATCGATCACTCTACCACCAATACTAAATACTAATTCTGGGGTGACAGTAGAACCAACTATTGTTAATACATCACAAGCCAAACGAGAAAGGACATGATAATGAAATTGTTCTATTTTCCACCAAGAAAGAATATCTAACTCTTGTTTTCTCTCAAGTCTTTTTTCATCAAGATATTTACGTAATTCAGATTTCGCGCTTAAAATTGAGCATTTTTGTAACTTTTATCGAAATCCTGCATATGAAAAGTACAAAAACACAAACTATAAGACTAGTAAAGATTATTGTGATGTAAGATAACTCTGATCTAAGAAATTCAAACAAAAGTTTCTGAAGAAAAAACGTATCTTGCATTGTTTTCAATTAGAGGCTATCATCAGCAAGGAGAAACACTCACATATCGAACATCAATTGACAGAATGGACCAATCATATAACATCATACAATTCTCAAATTTGTAGCTTCAGAGCTACGGGCCAGCAAAATATATATGATAAGTAAAATTCTCAAATTTTGAAGAAAAATCACCAATCGAATATGAAGATGATCACTAAGAAGAAATCTCTAAAATCCAATATTCAATTATAGTTAAATATCGAAATTAAGCCAAAATGAAACCATCACTACCCAAATTAAGCTAATAATCCACTAACTTAACAAAAAAGACAAAGTAAAATCACCTCTAGATGACTGCCATTGATTCAATGCAGAGAGAGCTCGAGCTGCTTTATGTTGTTCTGAAATTAGAGAGAGAGAGTGAGAGATTGTGAGAGGACGAAGGGCCGAATGGTGAGAGAGATTGTGAGAGGACGTAGGGCCGAATGGCGGAGTGGCACTGTGGCAGAGTGAGATCGTGAGAGGGCAGAGTGAGAATAGGGCAATGAGTTGGCGGAACAAGAGAGACAGATCGAAAACCACTTAGTATCTCTTAAATAGATTTACAAAATTACGAAACTAACCCTTTTAAGTCTTTGCCTATTAGTTGAAATTTGCCATTTCATTTTGTGAAAGTTGATTTTAAATTAGTTGTCCAGTTTTGTTCAAAAGTTTCACTCTTTATCTTTAGTTCAGATGTTATATATACAAATTAAAAGTCCCAATATTGCTATGATCTTTTTCTGAGCAGAACTTGCTTACACCATGGAAGTGAACGAAAAATGCGATGTTTATAGCTTTGGAGTGGTTGCTATGGAAACAATCATGGGAAGGCATCCTAGATATTTTTTCTCATCTTTATCATCAATGCCTTCTTCGTCCACATTGTCATCGACATCTACATTACCACCCCATCAAATGTCAATTGTGGATATTTTGGACCAACGCATTTTGCCTCCAACGCATCAAGAAGCAAGGGAACTCTCTCTCGTGAAGATTGCATTTTCATGCTTGAATCCCAGTCCGAATTCTCACCCTACAATGAAAAAAGTTTCTCAACTCCTCTCAACTCAAAAGCTGCATTTGTCAAAGACATTATGTATGATAACCTGCGATGAATTGCTTGCTCTTGATCCTTTGACTACCTGAGAAGCAGAGAATGTGCTATTTTCCAATAAATAATTTTCCGAGTCTTCCTTTTAGAAGAAAGATTCTTCATAGATGTTCCATGTATTGTAATTTATTTTATGCACTTGTATGCGTGGGCTTTGTTCACTTTATGCAGAATGTTTAATGTTTTTCAGTTAAAATTGTGTTTACCCTTGTGAGGAACAAACAGAAGTTAATAAACAAAGACTTGGTTTTCATGCATAGTGACAATGACTAGCTAAGATGATCACCCAATCTCATTTGACCGATCCGATTGTTAGTGTTGAACATGATGGTAATGAACTGGTAACTAAAAAATTGTTGTTTTTGTTATTTTGTTCTGGTAATTCTCTTTGTCTCTCTCAATGATCAAAGATGCTAATTCAGATCGGTGTCTGTGATCGGTGTCTGTTGAAGAATGTGAGAATCCCGCATTGGAGGATTGAAAAACTAAATATGATTTGTTGTGCGATTTCACTTTTAATTAGACCGAGATCTTTTGTGATAAAATTCTCACACATGTCTGAGTTGTGTACATTGTAAGATACAAGTTAAGGAACAATATACATGTGATTAATAGTGGGCCACTAAATCTAGACAGTGTTTATTTACGTGAATTTGGTGGATTGATGAAAGGTTTGTATGAATGCAATTCCCGCTTTTGTGAAAAAAAAAATTGTAGTGTTAAATTTGTATCTTTAAAGGATAATTTGAATGAAATTATTTATCTACAAAGAAGAAGAGAAAAGAGAAGTATATATAGATTTCTGAAGGTTTTGAAGGGTCCGATTTGACTTGAAAAATATAATTTGACAGAATTTTTAAGATATTCATTGGGTTTGTTTTTGGCCAAAACATGTACAAACTATTTAGATAAAATACACACCTCTGCAATAGTTTCCCTTTCAATTGGATTTAGAGTTATATTATTACCACCCCACATTGTTGAATGGGAATATTTTTGCTCACCACGTTAAACTTTGGTATATGCTTACTAAACACCTAATTATCTGATACGTGTATTTTCACTTAATCTTGGTTAATTTTTTTTTTTCAAAATTTAAAAAGTAACATTTAATTTGAAAGTTAACTAGAGTTAAGTGAAATGAGATATGCAAATGATTAGGTGTATGGTGAGATACAACATAGTTATGATGGTGAAATTTGAGGGAAAAGTGTTTGGAGAAATTTGAGATACAACATAGTTATGATGGTGAGATACAACATAGTTATGATTAGTTGGCCGAAGAACCTCCCATGCCAAAGTTAGAATTTTGAGGGAAAAGTGTATGGAGAATTTAGAGAATTTTGTAAGAGAGTTGGAGTTGAGTTTTGGAGAGAATGAGGTGGTATTTATAGGGGTATGTCTGGCCCCTTTGGGAGGATGGGGACCCACTTTGATGGTTTTTTGGGTGTGATTCATAATTTGTTAGCTAATTAATAAATTAATTGAGTAATAAATCAATTAATTATCTAATGAATATAATTTGAAAGGAATGATTTGGGGGTTACCTTGTGGAGAAGATTTGATGAGGATGGATGAAATAGGTTTTGAATAATTACCTATTTTGAGCACTTTTGGCCTTGAATGAGTCATGATTGTCCATTGCTCGCGCGTAGGAGCTCTAGTATTCCTGGAGAATAATTTTGTCCTTTTTATCCTAGAATCCACTTGTCGCCTCCACATTTTTCTCAATTATTTTTTGCTCCACAAATGTGATCCTCAACGGCTCTAATTTAGGAGAAATTATATCCTCAAGACACATAAATTCACACCTACCCCGCGCCCTTGATTCCCAGATCCACACCTACCCAACTATCTGGTCATATCCTTTTTCTTTTTAACTCTAGTCCAATTTCAGATAGAAGAACTTCTCCTAATTTAGGTGACTTTATTTCAGCACCTTCACGATAAAATCTGCACATTGATGACTTTGCTTAATAACGCTATTCTTTTATTTTAATACAATGATATATTTATACTAGGGTTATTATTACAAGAATAAAAATTCTTCTTTCGGGTCCAAAAACAGTACAAAAGAGAAGAAAGAGAAGAAATACCTCGTAACCTCAATCCAACTTTCAAAATTAACACAAATAAAACCAAAAATGTGTTTCTCTATAAAAACAAATAAAATAATTAGAAGTAGCTTTTGCCACAAGAAAACCAATGACACCCGGAGAGTTTGTCGACTCGTCGAACTCTTGGGGTTTTCAATTTTTATTTTTAAAATTTTACAAATAATACAAATAGTTAAATGGATCATGCTTGTGTCCGCGAGTAATATCGATGATCACCTATTTGTATTTCACTAATAAACGATTACATTCATAGCCTTATATTTACTTAAACGGTTACCTATAACTGTAATCGTTAAATTTAAATGAGTGAATTACTCATACCTGCATGTATTTTGCCCACCTCTAAATTCCTAAATCAATACATAAGTTTATTAGTACAGATACATGGAGTAATTTAATCACAAGCATGCATGCAGCATGCTCCTTTATCCTAAGTCAATACATATTGAAGACAACTTGGCAAATTACATTTATGGAGCACTCCAAAGTCATGAAAAACTTTGACTTTAGCCAAATTGCATTTATGCCAAACTGCATTTATGGAAGACTCTAACGCAATAACATTCTGCAAGCCCTATATTTTTCTTCTCTCCCACTCATTTTATTTAGGTTCGCGTAAAACGTTGATTTGTGTGTTGCGTCGAATATTCTTTCTACATTTCAAATCCTCTTGTATTTATAGGGATAAATTTCTTGATGGCCAAAGCCTGTCGTGCGATATAATCATATTGAAACTCCAATTCCTTAGCATGCACCTTATCTCTAAGATTATCCCAACAGTGTCTTCCACTTGGGTCTTCAAAAATGACAAGTCAAAGTCGATAATTAATGCAATACTACTAAACACAATTCTGCGAATTTGTTAATTATAGCATGATGAGGTTTTGAATGGTTCGATGGGAAACTGGGAAGCACATCGTTTCTTTCTTTCTAAAGTAGACGATAAATATGGTCTGCTGAAAGTGCACCACTGCCAGTCTACCACCATGAGTTTTGCACTTTATGCTCATCTTTCCTTTGATCACTTTGTATTTTTTCTTTGTGGGTCTAATTGAATTGACTACAATAGGTCATGAATGCCATTATAAATAAGCCCTAGAAGTGGATTATAATATGTACACGAAATTAAACTCAAATTATTGGAGGAGAAAAGTTATTTTTGAGTTAAAACCTGTTTTTTTTTTTCAAAACTCCTTCTGCTTTACTGTGAGAATAAACAACTATGAAAAAAGCAGGTAAATGTAATGGTAAACTATAGTACTAAAAGTGCTTTTAGCGAAATACAATAAAAGATGGGATATGATTGTCAATATGAAAGTTTCATTAATTGGTATTGTTGACCTGCCTCCTTTGAAAAAAAAAAACGCTTTTTTGAGAAGCATGCATAGAGTTGCTTATGTTTTTAGCTGTTTTAGACCTATGATTTGGGGGGTAAAAAAAAACTTTTTTTTAATTACCAAACACAATTAAGGACCCAATTTTTTTAAGAAAGCTACTTTTAAAAAAATTAAGCAGCCCAAACTAACCACAATTAAGTTTTCAAAATTATTAATGCTCATAAAAGTTGAACATAATACCTTTTATTTATAAATAAAGAAATAAATATCACTACACAATACGTGTTACAACTTATTCTTAATAATCTTTAGATGGTTGCCCCAAAGAGATAAAACATAAAGTCCACTAGCATTTCCCAAATTTTCTTTTATTTGATAAGTCTGAACTTATGACACCAAACGGAATAACTTTAATGAGAAGAAAAAAAATAGAAATAAATAAGACGTGAACAAGAGGGCAAGGCTGGGATGGTGATATTTTGAGAGGAAAGATTGATAATTACACACATTTGGGACTAAGTACATTGTATATTATAGGAAACAACCGTTAGAACTTAGGAGTGGGGTGGGCCCCATAAAACAATTACCGCATTTGGGACAAAGACTTTGACTTATCTTGTACGTACAAAACAATTTGCAAGTCCTGTATCTTTCTTCTCTCCCACCCCCTTTTTCAGTGCGGATTGAATTGAATTAATTACAATAGCTCATGAATGTCATTATAAATAAGTCCTAGGAGTAGATTCTAATACGCACACGAAATTAAACACTAGTGGCCATGACATCCTTAGATTTTCATAAACTATGCCCTCTGGCTTATTGCCTTGTCTTATTCGTACAACTTATTTCACCGCCAAGTTGTGTTGCTTTTGCTTATGCTACTTCTACTACTGAAGCAGAAGCGCTTCTCAAATGGAAAGCCACCTTTCAAAACCATACCCACCTGCAAAATCTCACCTCGTGGGCTTACCTACCCGCTCATACAAAAGTAGCCCCATGCTTCTGGACTGGTATTTCATGCAATGCTGTTGGAAGTGTCAGTGTGATAAACCTTACCAATTCCGGTATACAAGGTACGCTACATGAGTTTTCATTCTTGTCTTTCCCCAATCTTCAATACCTTAATCTCAGCTACAATAATCTCTTTGATGTAATTCCAGCTCAGATCAGTTCCCTTTCCAAACTCATCTCTCTTGATCTTTCTAACAATTGGCTCAGTGGTTCAATCCCAACATCCCTCGATGATCTCACAAACCTTACCACTCTCTATCTCCAGAGTAATAATCTTTCTGGCACCATTCCTAAAGAGATGGGGAAATTAAAATCTCTTGAGGTGCTCATTTTGTATGAGAATCAGCTTAACGGTTCAATCCCATCATCCCTAGGTCAGCTCACAAACCTTAACACTCTCTATCTTTATAGCAATAATCTTTCTGGCACTATTCCTAAAGAGATAGGGAAATTGAAATCTCTTGTGGACCTAGAATTGTCTGAGAATCAGCTCAGTGGTTCAATCCCATCATACTTAGGTCAGCTCACAAACCTTACCACTCTCTATCTCGATAGTAATAATCTTTCTGACACTATTCCTAAAGAGATAGGAAAATTGAAATCTCTTGTGGACCTAGAATTGTCTTATAATCAGCTCAGCGGTTCAATCCCAACATCCCTATGTGATCTCACAAATCTTACCACTCTCTATCTCTACCATAATAATCTTTCTAGCACAATTCCCAAAGAGATAGGGAAATTAAAATCTCTTGTGGACCTAGATTTGTCTGAGAATCAACTCAGCGGTTCAATCCCAACATCTCTAGGTGATCTCACAAACCTTACTGCTCTCTATCTCCGGGCTAATAATCTTTCTGGCTCCATCCCCGAAGAGATAGAGAATTTGAAGAAGTTGGCTACACTGCAATTGGGTAATAACCACTTAATAGGTTATATACCCCAAAATATTTGCTATAATGGACAACTCCAAAACCTTTCAGTGAGCAATAACCATTTGACTGGTCCAATCCCCAAAGCTTGAAAACGTGCAAGAGCTTATTTAGAGTTCATCTTAATGGGAACCAATTGACAGGCAACATATCAGAAGACATTGGTGTCTATCCAAATCTTGATTTCATAGATATAAGCCACAATATGCTATATGGTGAAATCTCACAAAAATGGGGACAATGCTCACAATTAAAAACCTTAATAATTGCGGGAAACAACCTTACTGGTAGCATACCTCCCGAGATTGTCAATGCAGATAAAATTCATGAACTTGACCTTTCTTCAAATCACTTAGTTGGGACGATTCCGAAGGGATTCGGGAGAATGACTTCTTTGCAAAAGTTGATGTTGAATGGAAATCAACTTTCAAGCTCTATACCTTCGGAATTTGGATTACTTGTTGATCTAGAATATCTCGACTTGTCGTCGAACAGATTCAATGGGTCAATTGTGACCACTTTAGGTGATTTTCCCAAAATGTACCATCTGAATTTGAGCAACAATCATTTTTCCCAAGGAATTCCATTTAAATTGGAAAAGTTAGTTCAGTTGAACGAACTTGATTTAAGTCACAACTCACTTGAAGGTAGCATACCACCAGCAATCAGCAATATGGAGAGTTTGCAAACACTCAATCTTTCTCACAACAATCTTTCGGGTTTCATACCATCAAGTATTGAAGGCATGCACGGCTTGTTGTATGTGGATGTATCTTACAATGAATTGGAAGGTCCCCTTCCCAACAACAAAGCATTTCAACAAGCTCTGCCCGAAGCTTTAAAAGGGAACAAAGGACTGTGCGGCAGCGTTGAAGGTTTACAACCTTGCACACATGGCTCGAGAAATAACCGCAACCGGGTATTTGGAATCACATTCTTCCTTATAGCAGCAATTATACTTCTTTCTGCTTTTTTTACAATTAAATTCATAGTGGAAAGAAAAAAGAAACATCCAAATAAAGCAGAAAAAAACTTGCATGAAGAAATATCATTTTCAGTTTTAAATTTTGATGGAAAGTCAATGTATGAGGAAATCATAAGGGCAACAGAAAATTTTGATTCCACAAATTGCATCGGGAGCGGAGGACAAGGAAGCGTCTATATAGCAAATTTGTCTAGTAACAACATAGTTGCTGTGAAGAAACTACATCAATTGTGGGATGGTGAGAAGAATTTTGAAAAGACATTCTTGAATGAAATAAGGGCACTAACAGAGATAAGACACCGGAATATTGTGAAGCTTTATGGTTTCTGTTCACACCATCGACACTCATTTTTGGTGTATGAGTTTGTTGAAAGAGGTAGCTTGATTGCAATTTTGAGCAAAGATGAAGAAGCTAAAGAAATGGGGTGGAGAAAAAGGGTGAATATTGTTAACGGTGTAGCTCATGCCTTGGCATACATGCACCATGATTGCGTGCCACCAATTGTGCACCAAGACATATCAAGCAAGAACATTTTGTTGGATTCTGAATATAAGGCCTTTGTTTCAGACTTTGGCACTGCTAAGTTTTTGAATCCAGACTCAACGACTTGGACTGCCATTGCAGGCACATATGGGTATGTCGCACCAGGTAATATGTTCTCTTCCTTTTAACCTTATTAATTGAGTGTTGTTTATGATTAGTTTTTTTTTTTTTGCCAAATATTACTTCTTTTCAACGTTAGGACATATTAAACCTACCACGTTACATGCTTTGGTTTTTGAGAACATTCACATAAAATATAGCGATAGTTCGGTTCATTGTAAGTTCTTCCAAGTCAACACTCTCTTTCCTTAAAGCTAAAACATAAAAATAAATAAATAAAAAAAAATTAGAAAAAAAAACAATTATAAACATGCAAATTGCAATAAGCATCTAATTTAATAAGTAATACCAATGGAGATGTTAATGAACTACTAAAAACTAACTAATTAAAACAACATGCAATAAACATGCAAACTGCAGTAAGAATACCACGTAAGATTTACCTCTTTAGCCAAAAAACCAATCCCTGGTGCGTAATACCACTTGAACGGTGCATAATGAACGGTTTCAGGCAATAAATAACTACGATATTGATCAATCACTCTACCACCAATACTAAATACTGATTCTGAGGTGACAGTAGAAACAGGAATTCATCACAAGCCAAACGAGAAAAGACAGGATGATGATATTGTTCCATTTTCCACCAAGAAAGAATATCCAACTGTTGTTTTCTCTCAAGTCTTTCTTCATCAAGATGCTTTCGTAATTCGGTTTTCGCACTAAAAATTGAGCCCTCATCAGCCACATATCGAACATCAATTGACAGAATAGACCAATCATATAACATCATACATTGTTCATAAAAAAAAAAAAAAAATATATATATATATATATAACATCATACAATATAGATCAATATTACCTGACAAATTTAGTCTCACAGAGGTCTGATTCATTGGATTTGAATGATGAGGCCACTTTTATCTAAAAGTTTTACTTAACACATATGCCTTCACTTTTATCAAAATGAAAATTGTATTCTGATGCATTTATCAGCAACTTTTAGCAAGCTAGTTTGTAGCTTCAGAGTAACGGGCCAGCAACATATACATGATAAGTAACATTCTAAAATCTTGAAGAAAAATCACCAATCGAACATGAAGATGATCACTAAGAAGAAAATCCCTAAAACCCAATATTCAATTATAGTTGAAAATCAAAATTCAGCCAAAACGAAACGTTCACTACCCAAATTAAGTTAATAATCCACTAACACAACAAAAAAGGCAAAGAAAAATCACCTCGAGATGACTGCCATTGATTCAATGCAAAGAGAACTCGAGCTGAGTGAGAGAATAGGGCAGTGAGTCGGCAGAGTAAATTGGGTCATTTGTTTGGGTCCATTTTGCCAGCTCCATTGTCATATATTTTTTGTTAAAGTTGATTGTAAATTAGTTGTCCAGTTTTGTTCAAACTTTTCACTATTTATCTTTAGTTCAGGTATTATATATACAAACTAAAAGTCCCAATATTTCTATAATCTTATTTTGTGCAGAACTTGCATATACCATGGAAGTGAACGAAAAATGCGATGTTTATAGCTTTGGAGTGGTTGCTATGGAAACAATCATGGGAAGGCATCCTGGTGATTTTTTCTCATCATTCTTATCAGTGTCTTCTTCGTCCATGTCGTCATTAGCATTAACATTACCACCCCATCAAATGTCAGTTGTGGATGTTCTAGACCAACGCATTTTGCCTCCAACACATCAAGAAGCAGGGGAATTACTCTCTCTTGTGAAGATTGCATTTTCATGCTTGAATCCGAGTCCGCATTCTCGCCCTACAATGAAAAAAGTTTCTCAACTCCTCTCAACTTCGAAGCTCCATTTGTCAAAGCCAATGCGTATGATAACCTGCGGTGAATTGCTTACTCTAGATCCTTTGACGGCCTGAGAAACAGATAATGTGCTTGTTTTCAATAAATAAGTTTTGAGCCTTCCTTTTAGAAGAAAGATTTTTCATAGATATTTCCTGTATTGTAATTTATTTTATGCACTTGTTTGTTGGGGCTCTATTCACTTTATGTAGATCAATTTTTTTTTCAGTTAAAATTGTGTTTACCCTTGTGATGAAGAAACAGAAGTTTATAAAACAAAGATTTGGTTTTCATGCATAGGGACAATGACTAGCGAAGATGAGAATGCAATGGACACACTTTATATTACTATTTCTATATATGTATACGGACTGACATAGAGTCATATAGACAGAAGCAACAAAGAAGTGGACCAGAAGCAATCGGGTTCTGACCGAAATAGACCTACTCATGAACCGCTTGTGGCAAGGCAGGCTTATCACTCCCCCTACAAGAAATCCCTCGAGGAGGATGTTGCGCATCACACAACTGGGGAATTCCGCAAGGTAAAGCTGCTAGAGTATAACTTTTTCAACATATTATATTATATAGGGTGAATTATATTTTGCACTGTCAAATTTAGGTGCATTTCCAATCTCATAAAACGTGTATAAGATATTCATTGGGTTTGTTTTTTGCCAAACATGTACAAACTATTAACATAAAACACGCACACCTCTGCAATAGTTTCTTTTTCAATTGGATTTAGAGTTTTTTTATTAGCATCCCACATTGTTGAATGGAAACATTTTTGCTCACCATCCTAAACTTTGGTGTATACTCACCATACGCCTAATCATCTGACACGTGTCTTTTCACTTAATCTTGGTTAATTTTTTTTCAAAATTGAAAATGTAACATTTAATGTGAAAATTAACAAGAGTTAAGTGAAATGAGACAAGCAAATGATTAGGTGTATGATAAGATACACCATAGTTATGATGGTGAGAAAAAATGCACCCAAAATTGAATACAACCCACAAAAAATATATAATATAAAATGAATATTTAGGGTCCATAAGTTACAATCATTGCAGTTACAATCCGAAGACAATGAATATTTAAAAATAAATTTATAAAATTACCTTGCTTTATTTTATGCATTCTTTTTTGCTGCTTTGAAATTTTTTTGGTTGAGGGGTAGTTTCGTCCTATTCTTTTTGTTGAAGCCAGTGACACCAAATTGAGCCTCTGGTTTTATATAAAAGATAGGGTAAAAGACTGTTTACTACCCTCATGTTTTGTGGTTTTCAACATTTAGTACATCAAGTTTTTTTCATCTCAGATTCATACCGAAAGTGTAAATTTTGGGACAGTCTCATACATCCGTTAGTCAAACTGTTAAGTTTTCCGTTAACTGTGACGTGGCGCACTGACTGGGCGCCACGTGTCATCCACATTTTTTTTTTTTTGCTTTTTTCTTTCTTTTCTTTTCTTCTTCCTTCTTCTTCTTCTTCTTCCTCCGACTGCAACTTTCTTTTCTTTTTTTTTCTTTTTTTTTTCTTCCTCCTTCTCCTTCTTCCTTCATTCCTCCTTCCTTCCCTTTCTTCCCCTTCTTCCTTCTTCTTCCTTCTCATTCTCCTTCTTCTTCCTCCGAATCTGGGGAAGCTTTTTTTTTTTCTTCTTCTTCTTCTTTCTCTTTCCTCCTTCCTTCCTTCTTCTTCTTCTTCTTCTTCCTCCGAATCTACCCAGATTCAGTTTTTTCTTTTTTATTTCTTTTTTTTTTCTTCTTCTTCTTCTTCTTCTTCTTCTTCCTCTGAATCTGCCCAGATTCAGTTTTTTTTTTTTTCTTCCTCCTTCTTCTCCTTCGTTCTTCTTCTTCTTCGTTCTTCTTCTTCTTCCTCCGAATTTGGGGGAAGATGAAAGTTTTTTTTTTTTTTTTTTTTTTGAGGAAGAAGAAGAAGAAGAAGAAGAAGAAGAAGAAAGAAGGAGAAAGAAGAAGAAAGAAGGAGAAAGAACAAACTTCCCCAGATTTCGGAGAAGGAAGGAGAAGGAAGAAGGGGAAGGAAGAAGGAGGAAGAAGAAGAAAGAAAAAAAAAAACAAACAAACAAACTTCCCCAGATTTCGGAGGAAGAAGAAGGAGAATGAGAAGGAAGAAGAAGAAGAAGGGGAAGAAAGAGAAGGAAGGAGGAAGGAAAGAAGAAGGAGAAGGAGGAAGAAAAAAAAATAGAAAGTTGCAGTCGGAGGAAGAAGAAGGAAGAAGAAAAGAAAAGAAAGAAAGAAAAAAAAACGTGGATGACACGTGGCGCCCAGTCAGTGCGCCACGTCACAGTTAACGGAAAACTTAACAGTTTGACTAACGGATGTATGAGACTGTCCCAAAATTTACACTTTAGGTATGACTCTGAGACGAAAAAAACTTGATGTACTAAATGTTGAAAACCACGAAACATGAGAGTAGTAAACAGTCTTTTACCCTAAAAGATATATATATATATATATATAATATTCTTTAAGGGAATGGATCCCTATTTTTTTTATAAAAATGGGGATTAGTTGTGGGGTCCACACCACATCGAAATTTAACGATCCAAACCGTCTATTTTTCAAGTTGCACCTTATAGATCATCCTTGCAAAATATTAGCCAAATTGGAAATATATAAGATATCTATTGGGTTTAAAAAAATTAACGAATAATTTGTTATATAAGAAACAATGAAATTTTATCTTGAGAATTAAATAGGCAAATGATTTTGGATTGAATTGAATTTTTGTAAGAATGATCTATAAATCGAGACTTACAAAATCTAAGGTTCGGATCGTTGAAGGTTTGGATACTTGATATTGTTTAGAACAGGTCGAGAAACTGATTATGCAACAAACTTATATAGTAGGGTTAGGGGTGGGCAAACGGGCTTAGACTCGCTGGTCAAGGCCGATTCGGGGTGGGTCCAAATAGTTTATAGAGAAAATGGGGCGGGGCGGGGCAGGTTCAAGTAAATAGTGGAGCGAGGCAGATCCAAATTTTTGAATACACGGGCCCTCAGCCCAGACCGTATCACACACACATACAAGTTCACACGGGTCTTCTCACTAACTCAGTCCTCACTTCCACAATCTATCTCATGAACCTAGACTGAATCTCCTCAACCCTCCCTTTCGAATGTCAATCTCGAATCTCAACAGTCGACAGTCAAGTGCTTCTGCCGGTCCATGGATCCATGCGCCGAGTTTCTAACCTTATATCGTCTAATATGATCTCTAATTGTAAGTACTAAGTCCTCCGTAGCCACCACCACCTCCTCCTCCTTCTACTTCAATCTCAGTACTCCACCGAACATGTGCCCTCACCACCTTCTAGGCCCCTGCTTTTCTTCTTCTCGCCACCCAATTTCAGTTTTATTTTCTGAATTCGAATTTGAAGATTTAAGAATTAAGGGTTAATTTGCTAAATTATTTCGATTAAGGGATATAATATTGCTATTTGTGTGTTGTGGCTTTGTGGATTATCAAGTGGACATTTTGTTTTCTTTGATTTTTGTATGATTTTATTTTCTGTTGATTTTGTTTTCAATTGGTATTTGGTTGGGGCCTTGAGAAATGCTTGAAAAGTGTTGGATTTGTTTTGGACTTATGCATTTCATTTCACCTGTTGGATTTCTTCTGGGTTGGGGCCTGAGAAATGCTTGAAACTTAGAATGGTTATTAACAGGAAAAAAATAAAATAAAAAACCCATGTACTCATAGGAACCGGCCCGTTTTGGATTGTTTTAAACGGGTTAGGTTAGGTACAGTTCCAATTTTGAAAAACCCAACACCAGCCCCATCTCGCCTTGTTGCATTTTTCAAACGAGTCTGGTTCGATCTCTCTAATTTTGGGCCCGACCCGGCCATTGCCCACCCCTAAGTAGGGTAATTAAGAAGAGGTATTTGCCAATTTTTCTCTCGAACTGTACCCCGCTATCAATTTATCCCCTAAACTTTTGTTTTGGTCAATTACTCCTTAAACTTTTATTAATAGTCAATTACCACCATGCTGTTAGATTTCAAACTTTTCTATCTGTTTTTCGTCAAAATTTATCATGTGCCAATCACATGCTCCACGAATGAGGGTAAAAAGGTCGTATTGACACCACCTTCTTGCCTGGAACTGGGTTCATTGCGCTGCTACCCGACCTACGCAGCAGCTGCTCTGGCCACCACCTTCTTCCATTCTCTTCAATTTAGCACAAATTCCATCAAATCTCTCAATTTCCTCATAATCCATCCCAAACATTTTCCCCAGATTGGCTCCCCAATCACTAAAACCAAACTTTACCGCAGGCGACCCCGAATCATTTCCAATTCTCTTTCTCGCTCATTGATGAAAACAAGAAACAAAGTGAACCAACTACAAAATCTAGCCTATTTATAGGAAACAGTCAAAATTTGGAAATTTAGAGAGATATATAGGGAACAGGTTGAATATTAGACCCTAAAATTGATTGGAGAGGTTGAGAGTTGGTGTAGTGATGATCTTGCCAATTGAATCTACGGCTGATCTTGCAAATTGAGACTATCAGATAGATCTCGAGTCCGACTTCTCTTGAATTTCTCCTTTCTCATTTCTCCGTAGCAGACCAATTTGGGGAAGTTAGGCCATCTCTAACCAAAGAGTCCAAAGGGGGAGAGGGCTGAAAATAGCTCGAGAACCATCTCCAACCAAGGGTTAGGCCAAAGGACCCCTGGGCCCCATGAGAAAAAAAAGGGCCAAAGGGCCAACCGGCTGGCCCAATCCAGCTAGCCCCAGGCCGAGCTGGACTTTTCATTATTAATACATTTTCTATCGGATATATCCGACGGTATTGTCCTCCCTTTTTTTTGGGCCAAATTTTTTAAATTTTTAAAAAAAAAAATTCCTCTTTTTTTCATATAAATACATAAGCCATTCTTACACCATTTTTCACATAATTTTCACTCTATTTAAATTTAAGTTGTTGTAGTTTTTAAATTTAAATGATAAATTATGTTTGGCCCTATGACCGTTTAGCCCTCGATTGGAGACGGTTTTTTTTGTCATAGGGCTAAAACGAGCCCTATGGCCCTTAGCCCTTGGTTGGAGATGGAGGTAAATATGGCCATATACTGTTCATTAAAATATTAATATCTTTGAGGGCTAGAGGGCTAAAACGAGCCCTTTGGCCAACCTTCGGTTGGAGATGACCTTAAAGCAAGACATGGAGCCAACAACTCAAGGAATGAAGTTGGAAACGCTACAGAGGGAAAGATGATGATGATATTACCCTTTTACTCTTATTTATGCAGCATGTGCATGGCACGTGATAAATTTTTTGTTCATGTGCATGGCACATGATAAATTTTAAACAGAAAAACAAATTGAAAGTTTGGAAATCTAAAGGCAAGGTGGTAATTAGCTATTAACAAAAGTCTAAGGGGTAATGGGCTAAAATAAAAGTTTAAGGTGTAAATTGATAGCAAGTTACAAGTTCAAGGGGGAAATCAGTGAATAACTTATTTGAGAAACAAGAAAACTGTTTTTGGCAAGATTTTCCTACCCCCAAAGGGAAAGGTCCTTCCCTTTTTTGGCCAATTGCGAGAGAGGAGGGATCCAAACCCCTCAAGAACTATACTTTATACATTTATACATAGCAGACAAGGGATTGAACTGCAGACAAGGGATTGAACTGAACTCTAATTATTATATATTTAGTTAGAGACCCAAGAAGAAAGAAAAAGAGTTTG